GGAGCCCTCCCGGCAGCCGGTGCAGCGGGAGGGGCTGCGTGGCAAGCGCCCCGCATAAGGAAGCCCTGGCCACCCCCCTTCTCTCTCTCCCGCCCCCCACTAGCCGGGGTGCGCACTCCGCTGCCTGGGGTCTGCAGGGCCGGGAGTTCCCCTGCACCCACGCTCCCGCCGCCCCGCAGGTATTTTGTTTTTGTTTTTTTGTTTGTTCTTTCCTTCGCCGCTCCGGCAGGCCGGCCAGTTTGTTCCCCCCCTCCTCGCTGCTCTGGCCGGGGGCAGGTTTGTTTCCCGCTCCCCCCCCACCCTTTGCTGCTCCAGCCAGCCCGTTTGTCATCCCCCCCCCCCCCTTTTGCTGCTCCGGCTGGGGGCAGGTTTGTTTTCCTCCTCCCTTCCCCCCGCTTGCTGCTCCGGCCGGCCGGGTGTTTTTTGCTTGGGGCGGCAAAAAAGCCAGAGGCCATTCCATACCTCTAATAATTTTTGTTGCTCTTGTCTGAACCTTTTCCAATTCCAATATATCTTTTTTGAGATGGGACGACCACATCTGCACGCAGTATTCAAGATGTTGGTGTACCATGGATTTATATACATGCAATATGATATTTTCTGTCTTATTATCTAACCCTTTCTTAATGATTTACAACATTCTGTTAGCCCTTCTGCAGGACAAATGTAGAAAAACCCCTGTCACAATCCTGGAGATTTATCAGGAGTCTTGCAATCGGTTGCTGATGTTTTTCAGTTGCTGGAATCAGGAGGTTGCATGAGAATCCCAGCTTTAATTTAAAAAACAAATATGGTTCAAATGCTCCTGGTTGTGGAGAAAGAAAGCTTGAAACTTAAAGGCACAGAAGAAGAACCTACCTTTTTTTATTTATTTTTGTTTTTAAAGCCAAGCCCCGACTTTGGGGAGGGGGGTTGGGTGCCTGACTCATGATTGGCCTGGACGTGGCTATATCAAGATTTTGAAACTTCAGTGTCTGGACACAAAGTGGCATCACCCCCCGAGTTTATTTGGGGCTGGTTTGCAACCATTACTATTCAGCACCGTACATAAGCAGCTGGGCCCAGGCCCTGCTCCTGCCGCCCACAACCGTGGGGCAGCGGTCACAGCCAAGTACATCCCTGGAACCAGGAAAGGAGGTTCTGTATTCGCAGCCCATGCTCCGTGCCTACAGCGCGCTGCCACTAGATGGCGGGGATGCCGCCCGAGGGGGGATTGCGTTTTGATTTTGATCCCGCTAGCTCCCCGTAGTTCGCAAGATGGCGGCGGCCGGGGACGTGCCTGTGCGGGTCTGTAACCAGGAGATTGTCAAATTCGACTTGGAGATTAAAGCGGCGGTGCAGGTACCGTCATCCGCACCCCTCGAGCCCATTTCCTGCGCCCCTTCAGACACCGCCCCCACGGCACCTTCCTGGAGAGGGTTCATGGCCCCTGCTCACATAGACACCGGTCCGGCTCCCTACTCTCCCGCCACCCCCACCCCCCGTGTGTGTGGGGTCACCCCTGGGCAGCTGGGCCCAGCGCCCGGGGTGTCACCGCTGGGGAGTTCGCTCAGCGCCCGGTCCTGCCCTCCCGCCACACTCTGGGAGGGGGGAGGGGTCGCTTCTGGAGAGTTGTCCAGTACCCTGCCCTCCTCCCAGTCCAGAAACCTCTACCAAGAACTTGATCCTTCCCCACCCACCGGCTAGGGTCTTTGCAAACAGATACGTGAACCCATGTCTCTTGTGAACCTCTCTGCCCTGGTCATGTTCCTTGGAGGTTTTGGAGAACTGGCATTTAGAAGCCTGCAGTTCTTATATGGAAGGGGAGTAGAAATGTTAGTTTAATTCTCTGGTGCCTGGTCCTCAGATGTGCCCAGGCTAACTGATTTTCACAAGCTGTGTCAGTTCTGCCCCACTAAAAGGTTAATAGAGCATTTCAAAACCACTGGTTGTGTATTTGTGCAGTGCCTAGTGCAATGGGCCCTGTGTCCCTGGTGAAAAAAAAATCAACCAAAACCATAATACTGATAATGTTTATATTGATCCCAAAGGGGAATCGAATCCTCTTCTTCATCTTTAATTACATAGCAGCAAACATTCACATTCCCCACAAATTGAAAAGTCCTGTGTTTCTGCCTGTATGTCATTCAGCAGAAACACCCTTCTCAAAAACGAATTAAATAAATTAATAAGCAAATTCAATTACATTACCAACCAACGTCTCCTAACCTAACATGGTGGTCATGTCTGTTATTTCTTTTAGGATATCAGTGATTGTCAAGGGCCTTTAAGTATGCTTACAGAATTAAATGCCAGAGTAAAGGAAAAGTTTCAACATTTACGTCTCAGAATACAGGTGAGGCACAACATAACCACAAAAATGAGATGCTGGTAGGTAACAGCAACAGTGTTAACGGCGCTTGTACCAGGGTTTGACCGGATTTTCTAGAGAAACAGAAGTCTTATTTGCCTGTGCGTTAGGTAGAATGAAGGTTAAAATGTACCAGGATGACACTGCAGTACTAGTGTCTTGGAGCCATTTATAAACCGTAATATTGAGAATTTCTAATTGTTTATATATTGAGCATGATACGTAAAAATAGTTAATTCTGGAGTCTCATCCCACAAATATGTGTCTTGCAAGTATACTTTCCCTGATAATTGATGGAGTGTATGCTGACAAGTTCTGCAGAAATTAAATTTACTTTTAAAAGAAAAATTAAATTCCTAAACACTAGTTACAGTGGTAACCTTCCAAATGGGCTGATACTCATAGCTTTCTCTAAAATCAGCAGAGGGAAACTGGCATGATTCTTGTCTCTTCCATTGTTGCCAATAGTTTGCTGAAAAGCAGGAATGAAGTTGACCTGCCAGTCTGCTTCATTCACTCTTATTCCTCTGTGTTCTCTGGCTTATGTGAGAGAGAGTTGATTCTTGTCTTGTTATTGGGGACCTTTCAGAGCCAGCTGGTTAGGATGCACATGACTAGTCATTCTAAGCTAATCTAGATCCAAACCAAAGGTATCAGCAGTATCAAGTTAGTTGCTAATTTACTGAATCAGTTATCCTCTCTGGTTGAGAAAAAAGTAATGATTGTAGATGGTGACAGCTTATGCTCAGATTTTAGTATGTCTGCTTTTATATCGAAGGAGCTTGAGCAGATGGCTAAGGAACGAGATAAAGAATCAGAGAAACAAGCCTTACTCCAAGAAGTAGAGAACCATAAAAAACAAATGCTCAGGTAGGTAAAGATGATGACAGTATATATGGACTCTTCATTTAATCATACACGCTTAGGATCTCAAAGCACTTTACAAAAGTGGGTGAGCATCATTACCCTAATTTTACAGATGGGGTCACCTAGGTCAGTGGTTTTCAAACTGTGGGTCACAACCCAGTACCGGGTCACGGAATGTAAGGCATTGGTCGCGGCAGCTCTGGTCAGCATTACTGACTGGGCTGTTCAAAGTCCCGTTGGCGGTGCTGCCCGGCTAGTCCCTACCTGTTCTGACACCATGCTGCGCCCTGGAGGCAGCCAGCAGTAGGTCCAGCTCCTAGGCGGGGGGCCTCTGTGCCCTGACCCTGCCCCAAGCACCAGCTCTGCACTCCCATTGGAAGGGAACTGCTTGCGCTCTCCACTTAGGAGCCGGACCTGCTGCTGGCCGCTTCCAGGGCGCAGGCGCAGTCTGCGGTGCCAGGACAGGCGGGAACCCTGCCTCTGCACCCTGGCTGCACCGCTGACAGGGAGCCACCGGAGGTAAGCCTGCACCCCAGCCCACTGCCCCAGCCCTGAGCCGCCCCCCACCAAACCCGGAGCCCCCTCCTGCACCCCAAGCCACTCATCCCTGGCCTCACCCCAGAGCCTGCACCCCCAGCCCAGAGCCCCTCCCATACCCCAAACCCCTCATTCCGAGCTCTATTGGGTCTCAGGCATCAACAGTTTTCTTCAATTGGGTTGCTAGAAAAAAAGTTTGAAAACCACTGACCTAGGTGAAGTGACTTGCACAAGGTCACAGAGTAAATCAATGATAGAGTCAAGAAAGAAGTGGGCTGTAGTCCACGAAAGCTTATGCTCTAATAAATTTGTTAGTCTCTAAGGTGCCACAAGTCCTCCTGTTCTTCTTTTTAAGAATAGAACTCAGATCTCCTAAAGCATAGTCTCTTGTTCTAATCTCCCAGTTGTGTTTTATGGATATACCTTTCTATCAAATGGAATTGTTTGAAAATAGTTATTCTTGATGACACTTAGAACAGGGATGGAATATAATTAGATTTTCAACAACTTGCACAATATTCTTCCTTGCCTTGCTCTCTAAACATACAGAAGAGGAGAAATGGATGAGGGAATGGGATATTTCTACTCGTAGCATGATGTAGTAGTAGTTAACATAATATATCTTACATATTGATTCATTGTTACTGATAAGCAGGTGGGATGTTGTTGGGCTGCGGTATTTATTTGTGCCCAACTGCCTTCTGATTATCTGGCTGGCACCTGAAAATCTTTCTAGCTTTGCAAATTGTCGCCATCATTCTAAAACATTGTACACTTGTGATTTCAGCAATCAGACAGCTTGGAGAAAGGCAAATCTAGCTTGTAAAATTGCTATAGACAACTCTGAGAAAGATGAACTGCTACCAGGAGGAGACCCGTTAAGACAAAGGTACTAAATCTTTCCTTTGTAATTAGAGAATTTAAACAATAGATGCTGTATCCAGTTATTCTAAAAAGAAATAGTAATACATTGTGTGTGTGTATATATGTGTACTGTAAACTACATGGTTCGATTTAGAAGGTGAATCTTTCATTAATACCTATTACCTTCTGTGTAAATAAAGGTGTGGTTGATTTGTTCTATTCACTTAAACTGTACATTCTCCCACCTTTGGCTTGTTAGGAAGGGGGAAAGTGTTAGACTGCTCCAAAGTTTGTGTGGTTTACATCAAGTGTATCATAGACATAAAGTACAAGTTACAAATCTGCCTGCTGTCATTATTTCACGCCAATAATCGGATTGTTTTATATAATTTGTGAATTAAACACTTGTCTTATTTAATCAGTGAGGAACATCAAACTGGGTATAAAAGATAACAAAGCGGTGACTTTCATCAGTGTTTCCATATTGTGTCATGAAATAGTATATTTGTGGATCAGCATCTGATGACACTTGGACCCTTTCTCTCAGCCACTGCCTAGTAACTGTTTCAGGGGCTGCTGCTCTAAAATTCAGTGACTTTGGGCTTTAGTGAGGATTTTGGGTGCACACCCAAATCTACTACCTCATTTGAATGAGCATATTAAAATAATATGTTTATGTGCTTTGTACATCTGAAGGCGGCTATGGTTGGTGCCAAATTCCAGCTCTGAACACCCTATTGCTATCAGAAACAGCAAGCATCAAACACCCCAAGACATGATTTTATTCCTTGCCATTTTATTTTTCCTTTCTTCCTTCAGAAAAACCACAAAGGAAAGCCTGGCAGAGAATGCAAGTACAATTACAGAGAACCTGATGGGCATTAGCAGGATGATGTCTCAGCAGGTCAAGCAGAGTGAGGAGACCATGCAAACGCTAGGTACAGATGCAACCCAAGTCTTTGTTTATGGATTATAAAAATTTGATTGAAATTAATAGGCAGCAGGTTTAAAGCAAACAAAAGGAAGTACTTCTTCACACAGTACAGTCAGTCTGTGGAACTCATTGCCAGGGGATGTTGTGAAGGCCAAAACTATAACACAGTTCAAAAAAGAATTAGATAAGTTTGTGGAGGATAGGTCTATCAATGGCTATTAGCCAGGGTGTTCAGGGATGCAACCCCGTGCTCTGGGTGTCCCTAGCCTCTGATTGCCAGAAGCTCAGAGTGAACAATGGGATGGATCAGTTGATGATTGCCTGTTCTGTTCATTCCCTCTGAAGCACCTGGCATTGGCCAAGGTTGGAAGACAGGATACTGGGCTAGATGGATCTTTGGTCTGATGCAATATGGCTGTTCTTTTGGATAGGATTATTGCACTAGTCTTTCACCTTTGGAGATCTGGGTTCAAACCTCTTTTAAAGGAGAATGATGCTCTATTCCTAGAGGTGATTCTTCCAGGATAGAGTGAGGAAAATTGGCAGGGTGCAGTGGAAACTTGCAGTGCTGCTGCCCACGATGAACTTATTTTGCAGATACATAGACGACTTCTGTTTCAGGACTTTCAGTCAGTACCTGTCACCAGAACTAACATTTTCATACAGAACAGAGAATAACAACTGGCTGTGGCTTAGAGTTGAGTTTCAGACCATCCTCCTGACTGGTGGCAAGTTTTGTAACATCGTCTAAGAAAAAGAGGAAGAAGCTGATTGGAGACTCTTGGTTCTGTGTAAAATCTTTTCTGTGATATGAGATCACTGGCATTCCACAGCAAATTTGATGGGACAGCAACAAGTTTGGTTAGTGTTTGTCAGGGACAGTTTGTTCGCTATTATTTTACACTGTTTTCCTAGCATACATGGTGTAATATCAAAGAAATATGAAAATATGGTATGTGGGTGTGCCTGTATAAATAGACACACATACCCACACACAGAAGGAAGTTTAACATGGATACAAGAAGATTGCTTTTACCCAGCTCTCCAGCTGGGTTGACTAAAGCAGGAGGAGATCAAAGTGATTTGTACCGAAGGTCACATGCTGTGTCAGTAATGCATCTAGGACTAGGAAACCAGGATTTGGCCAGCTCTTTCCTTTAGACCCTAAAACAATAAATCAAGTGGGCTGTCAAAATTGGTGATTCATGAACCATTTAGAAGTCGGATGTGTGCCAGCTGGGCCTCTTATATTTGCTGTGCTTGGAGAGAAAAAGAAAGAGTGGGATTTAAAGGATAGGTTAGATAATGCAACTTTCTCCCCCTCACTATCTACCCCCATCTGGGGATGGCAGCTGTGCACAATTCCTGCATGCAGAAAAAGTATGTTTCTTTTCCTTTTAAATAAGACAGTTTTGGCAGTCACTCTGTCACCCATTTTCTGGCTGAATAGTGCTTACAGTTTGTCATGGGAGGAGCTATCAAAGATTGTCTGCTGTGAGAAAACCAGCTGTGGATTTTGAATCTGTAATTAGAATTTTAACATCTACAAATTAACAGTCCTTTTTCCAGTATTTGATTGTGGAGCAAGGAACCCATGCTTTGTCACTAACCATGGGAAACAACAACAATTTTCCCTTTGCCACTTGGATCAAGGACCTTTCTTTAAGGATGGGACATCAGAGTTTGTGATATGATGGATTATGATAATATTTCTTTCATAAGATATTACATGCTCATATGAGTGAACTGCACATTTGAAGTTTGACCTTTTTTATTCATTTAGCTCTGTACAAATTCAACTGCATTTTCTCAGTTACAGGATGTGGATTTTGTAATGCAAGAAAATGGAGACTCAGGCTTCTGCTTTTCATCATTTAGTAATCTGAAGAGATAATTGTTTTGCAAAAACACAAGCTGAAAAGCCCCTGTATGCCATGTCATTATTTTGTTATATTCTCAAACTAACTCTTTGTTCAATGGAGTCCAGCTAATACTCTCACCCTAAGATTAGAATTTTTACAAAGAAATTGTACATTTTTAAAAAAGAAACCCAAATGTTAAAATGTTTGGAAGTGAACCATTAAGAAATCTGTTGAGGCCCTAACTGCTTCATCACTCATCGCTCCTCCTGACTTTCATCGAACTATTGTCCTGGCTCAGAGGGACACTTCTAGTGGTGAGAGAGCAATTTGGTTTCCATGACCATACTCAGATGCTGGCCTGCCCTGAAGTTGCCAGTAATGGTGCCAGTTGTGATGGCAGTTTCCCTCTAGTAAGAATGGAGCTGAATCCACCAAACTTATTTCACATAGACCTTAAAAGGCAATGACTTTTGTTCACAATTGATCTGAACTAGATTTGATGATCCAGTAATCTAAAAATGAATGGTCCTGTATCCTGTTACCAAATCTGCAAACCATCCAGCCCTCCTAGTTTATTTTGCTTTGTGTTCTTTTCCAAGGCATATTAGGGCTCCTGTGTGGTGAAAGATTCCGCAGGAACATGATCTGCATTGATGTCACCACTAATCAGACTAACCCATGGGGGTATCACTATTTGTAGTTTCCTTTATGCATGTTTCCTTTCTAAGATGTTTTGAAGCACACTCAGCTGAAACTTTACACTTTCTCATTTCAGCCAATTCTTCACGAACCATCCTGGATGCGAATGATGAATTTAAGTCCATGTCGGGGACAATACAGTTGGGGCGAAAGCTCATTACAAAGTACAACCGCAGAGAACTGACTGATAAGCTGCTCATTTTTCTTGCCCTGGCCTTATTTTTGGCCACTGTGCTCTACATCCTGAAAAAGAGACTCTTTCCATTTTTGTAAAATTCCAAAGCACATGGATTACCAAATATTATGAAAGACCAGAAAGGGAGATGGGGTAATAATAATGAGGTTCAGTGTAACTGGGATCCAGCACTGTTCTAGCTGAAAGAGGGTTAGAGCAGACAGGTCTTTATATTGTATAAATGGAGTATGATACTGGCTAAGATGTTAAGCGAGCTTGCTCGCACATGTAGGGGCAGGAGCAGAAAGAATGAGGTGGACAGAAGTAACACCCTTTTCTCTGCTGGGTTGGGGAAACAGAGAAGCACTTGGTGATCCAGACAGGTGCTAGTCTTAATTTTCAACCCTTCTCCCATCTCCGCATGAAATAACCTGTCACTTAACAATCTGATCAGGAGGTGCCTTATCAGCTGTATGTAAGATGTTGAGAATTAAGCTGAGGAACATGAGAGAAAAGAGGATGGATGCAAATAAACAAAAAAACCCCAAACTTAGATACATTCCTTTAATAAACTATTTATAGTGTCTGCGTAAATTGAGTCTTAATTAAAAGGAGGAATTACACATGTATTGAAGGAGACTGAATTGTATATACAAGGTCTGTCTGTCTTTAAAACTGAATCTGCCTTTGACGTACAAAGATGGCTGCTACAGGAGTGAAATGAAATAAGTGGCTTTAGAATGAAAACTGTCATGCCACCTTTTCGCAAGTCGAGTTCCAAAATTTAGAGTCTTATAATATGGGAAATGCATCTTGTGCCTTCTTGAGGCCAAAGTTACTGTGTTTCTTTGAGAATGTAGTTCAGATATGTTCTGTGGCTTCATTTCAGGTCTGCACTTGGAGGACTCCAGTTGATATTTGACTAGAAAGGCCCATTTGCCTTGATTCAGCACAGCTTGTGTAAGAGGCATAGGAATGTATTTCATATTATCAATTCCTAAGGAGTACTTTGGAGTTACAAAAAAGGGATTTCAGTGGAGGATACAAAAAGAACTTAAAAAACCATGCATTTCTTAACATGAACCCTAGAGACCACTTGGAGTAGATCTTTGGTCATTACATCTCTTGAAATTTAAAAAATAATTTTGTATTTATCAAAAGACCAAAGCACAAACAGAAGTTCCTGTTATAGCTCTTCTCATTGGTGCAATATTTTATTAAAAGCACATTGTCAAGGAAATTTTTCTGTAGTCTTTTGTCTTCGTTTTCTTCTATACATTTTCTCTTAATATTTACATCTTCAGAGTGCTGCCAACTTGTACATTTGAAAATGTTTCTTCCTTCCTCCTATAGTTTGACCTTTTGATTGGCAAACTTGAGTTGCCTTCCCCTCCCCTGTGTTTTGAATGGAGCAAAAATGAACGTGCCTGTTTGGTTTAACAGCACCATTATCAATATGCAGTACTCTATGTAGCACCTTCTTTTACCGAAAGAACTGTGAGCTGAACCTTCAGCTGATGTCTGTGTAGCTCTAGGAAAAATATTTAACTGCTGCCTTAGCACCAGTTGGAACACCTGAAATGCTGGTTTTGTGTGGGGGGGTGTCTAAAACTGGTGGCTTTTTTTTTTTAAATCAGATGTTTAGAACTTAAGTTAAATAAAAACCAAGGCCCTTCTAAATAGAATCTAGATGATACTTCCAGTTACATTTCAGTATTCTAGCAGATGTCAGATTTTGGGCTAAATCCAGCATGACATCCCTTTAAAGGTTAGGTTCCATTTGGGAGACTTTGAAAGAGGAAGTGGCACTAACTCCTCAAGGTAGGCCTGTCTTTGTAAAATTCCCTTACCCCAGATCTTACCAGCTGGCATAATTTCCCCTTTTTGCCCACTGTAGACATGTGTTTGAATTTGGTAAGAAATAGGATGTAATCAGGGTGGACCAAAGTATATTATGATTTAAGCCAACGCCTATAAACAGTTGCCATTGTGAGCAGGTATTGCCAACATGGTATAGGAGCTAGAATTTTTCATCAGCAGCTCCAAAAATAGAGGCCTCTGGGTAGTGAGTTGAAAGAGCTGTGCCAATCCTTCATGGGGAGAAAAAGAAGTGATAAATATGCCAGCAGGCCTCCTGTTACATCCAGTAGAGGGCAGTAGTGTGTTCACATGTAATGAGCCTTTCTTATGAGGTGAATCATGAAACAGTTACTTGTTTTTCACCCAGTCAGATCCTATCTGTATCTTATCTAGGCATTTTCCCCCCTCCCATCTATCTAGTGTAGGGTTTTCTATATTATCCTCATGGAGGTAGTTGACTTGAAGCTTCCCAACTATAGCTGCATCCTAGGGGACTTAAAGTTTAGAACAAAGTGATAGTAAGAATGTTCCATTCCTCAATAAAGGAGGAAATTCTTCATTTTATCACAATTAGATGTATTTATTTTATTCAGTAAATAGTTAAAAGTCCCATAAGGCTGCCTTTATGTGTTTTTATTAGGGGATTTCTCATGAGCAGATTGAGGTTTGGTTCTTTTGGGCAGTAAAGGAAAGCATGAACTATTGTATTCTGTATGCAGAAGCATCAAAAATGTATACAACATCACAACTAAATGAAAGTGGTCTCTGTCCTTGACGTTGAAAAGCACTGCTTAAATATAGAATATTCTAGTTGACCCTCTGTGCAGCAGAGGCTCTGACTTCTGAATTAGTAATGCAATACCATCTTATACACATTTAAAGAAGTCAGAAGAATTCTCCCTTCCAGCCTGCTAAGTTTCTGGACCAGCTGTAGCAGTTTTGCTTTATTGATTTGACTTGCCTTGGGGGAAATGGTCTTGTGTTCTAAAAGCACAATGTCTGCAGGTGGTCAGACATTACAGCTGATTCAATGTTTCCTCCCTAATGTGAGAGCAGTATAAAAATAGATTACTCTTAATCTCTGAGATAGTGGAATGCTGAGCAGACAGGAGAGCCATGCTGTAAGTAATGATGAAGTGCAACTGTCCCTGCAGGAAGTTTGTGGTTTATCTGCCCTCTCAGTACAGAAGATAAATGTATCTCATAAAAGAAATGGCCTCCGCAGGGCACCGTGGGATTGAATAACTTTTGTTTTATAAGGAGGTCAGACTTTCCTGATGGGGATTGAAAATGTAGCAATTTAGTAAAAATCCATTGTTAAATGCTCCTTGTCCTGTTTCTCTGTTGGCTTTGTGACTTGATATTACTGAGTTATAGATCCCAGAAGTAGGCAATTAGAATATCATAGGAATAAAAAAAATGGCCTCTACAATTATGAGTCCTTTCCATGACATTAGCTTTCATTTAAAAAAAAAGTGTCTAGTTTTTTTTAATGTGAAAATAATTACCTTTCCTCTGTAAATCAGTATTAGATTTGTACTCTCCAGAAGCAGGGGGATTTATACTAGTGCAAAATGGTCATACGGCAGCCGTGAACTAGACCCTTTGAGAGAGAGTGAGAGAGCATGTGATCTGCTCTTTGACGCAAGTCTTCTCCCATTATGCCATTCCCTCACTGCTTGATTTTCAAGAAATTTTATTCTACAGACCATCAATAACGGTGCCAGACAACTAATGGACTACAAACTGTACAATAAGAATATTATTGATGTGATATTAAGGTGGAATGTAATGCTCTCCAGAAGTGTGGAATGAAGTCATTATATTCCAAATCATCACAATTTAGGTAATAATTAGAGGAGGCCTTTCCCCACTAACAGACCTATGGAACAGCTCAGCTTTGGCTTTCCTGAAGGCTCTGACTAGAACAGTGGTTCCCAAAGTGGGGATCGTGAACCCCTGGGGGTTTGCAAAATGTTACAGGGCATTCTCGGGAAAAAATTCCCTAATGGCAGACAGAGCTGTCCCTAGGAACCCCGGGAAGCCCTGGACTTCCAAGAGCAAAGCAGATCAAAGCAAGCATATCTATCACACTGAGGAGATTTAAACTTCAAGACTCCTTGTAAGAAATGGAAAGGGAGGTGGATATTTTTTGCTGTTTTTAAAATGAAATAGGTAGCTAGTACTGTTTTTAAAATTATTATGAAGAACAAGTTTAAGCTTTGTTGTAACGTGAGTTGTTTGCCTGGACTGCTCAAGACCTGAATGCTTGTGTAGGAGGAACTCTGAGTTGGCTTCTTAAATATCTTCGTACTGTTTCACATCTGATACTCCTTGATGAAACATAGGAGCCTTGTCTTACAACAGGCTTATTCAAACTGATACAAGCTACGAAAGTGAGATCTTGGAAGAGTTTTGCCGTTTTCAGAATGTAATAAAAATACTGTAATGATAAATAATTATAAATAGTGTGTAATAAGCATGTCATAAAACAAATTTTATATTTCCAAGATCACTGCTTTTATAATTTATACTCAGGTAAAGGAGAAAATTCCTGTAAATATTCATTTTTAGGAGGGGGTTCACGAGACTTGACATTTTATTGAAAGGGGTTCACAGGTTGTTAAAGTTTGGGAACCACTGGACTAGAACAATGACAGTCAAACTAGTGAAAATTAAATCCTTTTGGGGACATTAAATGTGATTTACTTTTGCTTGTATATGGCACCTAGGTACTGCTGTGGTGAGCACTTAGCATTACAAAAATAAAGAGAGAGATGTAATAGAAGTGGGTCAGAGGCACTCCTGTAATTTAGACTGTCTGCCACAAGATGTGTGTCAGTCATTGTAAGCTGGCAGCATGACTCACTGTAGTCAAGCTTTTTCTTCAAGAAACAATGTTTCTGATAAGAAATTGAAGCCAGTTAACCTGAGCAAAAACTACTAAACAGAAAAGCTCCCTAGAGGTTAACCCACTCCTATGGCCCTGGCTATGGAGGCCTAGCTGTCCAAAGGCATTGTCTTTCCTCAGGGTAACAGGGTGGCTTGTAATTGGGTTGGAGAGGCTGGGGCTAAGCCAGCCCTTATTACAAGATGAGACTGAGGGCAGGTCTTCACTACGGGGGGTGTCGATTTAAGACACGCAAATTCAGCTACGCAAATAGCGTAGCTGAATTCGACGTATCGGAGCCGACTTACCCTGCTGTGAGGACGGCGGAAAAATCGACCTCCACGGCTCCCCATCGACAGCGCTTACTCCTACCTCCGCTGGTGGAATAAGCGCATTGATTCGGAGATCGATTGTCGCGTCCTGACGAGACGCGATAATTCGATCCCTGAGAGATCGATTTCTACCTGCCAATTCAGGCGGGTAGTGTAGACCTAGCCTGAGAGGAATCAGGAGCTTCCAACTGAAAAGACAGCAGGCAGATTCAAGGCAGGGGTGTGGCTGAGAAAGGGTTGTTGAGGCTGCCAGAGGTAGAAAGCTCGGGGATGCTCAGGAAACCGAAACCTGAGGAGATGTAGCTAGCAAGCATAGTTTGACTTCCATATTTGGGGGTGCGGCTCCAGTCCAGCCAACGGGGCAGCGCACGGGGGGGCGTGGAAGGGACAAATTCTGTTCTGGCCCACAGGGGCACCATTTCAGATTTTTCAGGGGACTGGGTAGGGTTACCATATCTAACAAATAAAAAAAGAGGACCCTCCACGGGCCCTGGCCCCGCCCATTTCCCCAGCC